GGGAGTAGCAGTAGAACTTCTCCAGGCAATTCAGGCCAAGCTCAGTCATGCCGGACCAGTGCTCTTTTCTTTGTCTCTGTTTTGCAGATTGCTTGAAGCTCATCCCCACAGGTTAACCAGCCCCCGACGAGACCAGTAACCATTAAGTCGGCCACCGCAATCCGAGCCATCCCATCGTTCAAATTCAGAAACGTCGAATTAGGTAATATATTATCCGATTCAATTTTGATATATTAAGTTGCCTAATTTGAGTATATTGTGATCTCAATTAGATGTCATGTCTTCTCATATCCAAAAATATTTTTGAAACCTGTGAATTGGGATATTTTCCTAATTTCACAACGTGCATATGATGGCTAGTCCGATTTCACGCCCGAAATATGACTCACTATCGGAAAATCGTCAATCCGTTCTCCCACTCGAGATGTGATTCGCGGTTGCACGAAAAATTGATCGTCAATCAGATCTCATGCCCGAGATACGAGTCACGATTGCACAAAAATTGGCCAATCCGATTCTCATGCCTGGAATACGATTTGTCAATTTATTTTCCAAATTTAAATGGATATGGATGATATCTTGGGTGATTGGATGCTATCTTTGATTTTGGTTTCATCTTCGTTTTCATTTGATTGGATTCTTTGTTAAAAAATCCCAAAAAGATTAGATAGGATCAAGGTAAATTTTTCTAGATAGATTGCATGCTAGGATAGGGTTTATCTAGTTAGGATATCATTCCAATTAAAATTAGGATTTGGCCTAGTTTAATTCCTAAAATGAATTGGATTATATCTTGCACTAGATAATAAATTTTCATTATTTTATAATTTCGAATTTCAATGAAAAATCAAAAAAAGTATCATGTGCATGTCATATAGATTAATTGCATCATGCATGCATGTCATGTTGCTATGTCATCATAACTTACCATGTCATTCATAATTTGCCATGTCATCATTTATGCCATGTCATCACTTGCATCTGATATGTTAGGTTCATGAAATTGTGTGTCATGCTAGAATAGTTGCATATTAATTTTGCTCATCATTAGAAATCTCATGTCTAGGTTCATTGCGTGCCATATTAGAGATAGTCCATTTAATCGTCATTAGAATTAGGATATTTAGGTAAATCGTATGTCACATGTCATGTTAGACTAGTAGCATGCATTGTACATAGTTTAAGTTTCACTAAATAAGAGAAAACTTTAAAAAATATTTGAGCGAAATTGCGTGTTAATTAGAAATCATATTTAGGGTGATGATGTGATTTTCTAGCTAATATTGCAAATGCTTACATTGCTCCAAGGTAAGTATTTTCATCTCATCCTAATTAGAGGTGGTAAGATATATTATGGAATACCCATTGATTGCCATTCTAATTATTTTAAAAATGTTTGCTTAAGAATAGAGATGAAGGTTTTAATTATGATCTATTACGTAAAGTTGAAGTAAAAAATCAGTTGAATAGAAATTAAAAGAGTTAGATCTGACAGAGGAAGGAGAGTATAATTTGTTTAGTGATTATTGTGAAATGGAAGATATTATTCATGAGATTGCTCGTCCATATTCACCTAAGTCAAATGGTATAGCTTAAAGGAAAAATACAATTTTTAAAGAGATAATGAATGTTCTGATTGTTAATACATGTGGACCTAATAATATGTGAGGTGAACCCACAACCACCAACTTAAAGTTGAGTTCCTTAGGATAAGAGTCGAACCCACAACCATTGGTTTTTCAGGTGAAAGTGTGGGACCATCCTTACCATTGAGTAAACACCCACTTAAAGTTGAGTTCCTTAGGGCAGATTTCGAACACACAACAACCATTTCTTCTAGTCGAAAGCATGGGACACCCTTGTGATCGAGTCATTCCAAACGTAGGTTTTAAGAATATTTCAATACAGGATACGTAAACCAAATAAGATCTGTTAGTATTCTAACAATTTGGGTTGTGAATACGGGTAATGTTGCGCGTGTAGGAAGTTCAGATCCAACAATGACAAAGTCTGGCTCCATAGCATCAGGAGGGGATGACTTGATAAGTCGTCGGAGAAGATGGACTTCACAAGTCATCATCGTTTGAACGTTTCAACAAAAGAAGGCGGAGTTCACGATCACGAGCAAGTCTTTCTCCCACACCGTACCATAGAAAATTCATTAAGGAAATAGACATTTCATAGAAGAAGTGATAAAGTAGTCCTCGCCAGTTTTTGTTGGTCTGTAGACATGAGATTTGTCCATTTCCCTACCACTACTCATGGGAAGATGTAGTCCGCAGAAGTTCCTATCCATTGAGGATTAGAAGGAAGGTTGACCAAGAAAAGTTTATTAGTCCTCTCAATTATCAGCTGATAGTTTATCAAATTTTTACCCAAGTCTAGTTTGAGGACCTAACTGCCATGCACGATCATCCTTTTTACTGATATACTTAGTTAAAACTACGATAATATAATATACTAATTTATATCACTTTCTAAAAATATTAGAGTAGTCCTTGGAGAAGAAGTGACAAAGTAGTTTTTGCCAGATTTTGTAATCTAGGGACACAATCATAATTAGTAGGCTGTGGAGGAGAATCGACACAACAACCTACCGCCATGATTACCCACTTAAAGTTGAGTTCTCTAAGGCAAGAATTGAATGCATAATCATTGACTTTTTAGCCGAAAGCATGGAACGCCCTTACCATTGAGTCAATCTCAAGATAGGTTCTTGGAATTTTACAATACAAGATTCGTAAACAGTATAAGACCCCTTTGTATTTGACAATCTAGGTCGCAAATACGAGTAATGTTGGGCGGGTAGGAATTTCAGATCCAATAGTGTCAAGTGAGAGCGCTGGCTCCATAGCGACCTGGGGGAAGACTTGACAAGTCGTTGTCATTTGGACATTTCAACGAAGGAAGGCGGACTTCACAAACCTGTCTTCGTCGCGCATTCATTAAGAAAAATGCAATTTCCCAGAAGAAGTGACAAAATAGTCCTTTCCAGTTTTTGTTTGGTCCGTAGACATGAGATTTGTCCATTTCCCTACCACTTCTCATGGGAAGATGCAGTCCGCAGAAGTTCCTATCCATTGAGGATTAGAAGGAAGGTTGACCAAGAAAAGTTTATTAGTCCTCTCAATTATCAACTGATATTTTATCAAATTTTTACCCAAGGCTAGTATAAGGACCCTACTGCCATGCACGAACATCCTTTTTACAGATATAATTAGTTAAAACTACGTTAATATAGTATACTAATTTATAGCACTTTCTTAAAATATTAGAGTTGACATTTCTGTTAATCTTTCTGTTTTCGATACAATATAAGATCTATGTTCATTGTAACTAAGTTGTAAAATAGACTTAAAGTTCTTATTACATTGCATTCTTTTGACTGGTGAATAAAAGCATAAAGCACTAATGTAAACAATTAAGGAAACAGGTACTACGGTAATTATAGACTTCTAGATGCTATGATAAGTGAACTTTTTTTTAAAGAAAGAGTTATGTGCATTATTTAGTATATGATGCAATGCTACATTACGTCTAAACGAGGTTATTAAAATAGATATGTGCTTTTTCTAATATCGCAAGACAATATGCTTTTTGTTCTTTACAAAATATCAGATACCGTCAAAGTGGTAAACATGAGCATTTTAGATCATGATATATCTTTAATTGATTTTTAACAAAATACTGCTCGTTCCAACATTTGAGATCTCTAGCTTTGTAATTTTAATGATTCGAGTATACACCCTTCCCATCGACTCAATGCCTCCTAATCCAAAAGCGTAACTTCACCTAAGCGATATCTAGTTGCAGACAAAGGCTCTCCAAAATGTGGGGATGAAAGAGCCAAATACATATTACGTATCTAGTGTACTCCCTAATGCAAATTACTATCGGGCTGTTGTGCATGCCGTGTTTTACATTAGACATTGCCGGTACAACTCCATAATCATAATCATAATGGCAACACTTGTGATTGATTTTACTAAGAGAATCATGAATCTAACGACAATATTGTTTTGGCGTCACGATCATCTATTCATTTTCAATTTACTGTTCGCTAGGGAAATGACTAAGGGCGCCTTACCTTTCGTGTGTGAACTATCTTTTGCACCGAAAAATCTATAAAAATCCGTTGTATATTGTTTTTTTATTATTATTCCATCTTGCTTTTCTTCATATATGCAATCGGGTCCCTCCAAATTGTTCTGCCGACACAATTTCCCTTCCACCCTCTATTATTGTACTTAATTTCACCAATTCGTCCTTGTGCGTGTAATGGGTTGCTGTGAATGGCTCACACTTGATTCTCGAATCTCACTCTATGAAACGAGGGAGCGAGAAAATATTAGATGGTCCGGATCGCCAAGTCAGTATGGTCCCGGACCACTCATGAAGGACCACGTGGTCCACGTGGCGCTTGTGGGGCCGGCTGGCCCAGATGGAAATTTGGCACAAAAAAATAATATTCATTATTTTTCCTTAGCCCTGAACGCTATTCCCTCTCTCTCTCTCTCCTCTACACACATTTATTTCTTCTCTCTCTTCTTCTCCTTCGTTTTCGCAAAACGAAGAAGAAAACTCACGGCGCTTTCCTCTCTCGCTTTCAAATTTATTTTGAATCTCTGCGATTTTGCTCTCAAATTTCGCTTGGCTTTCTCGTTGCCCCGCCCCTATCCGACGAAGCCAAAATCTCGCTCAACAGATTAATGGGCGAAGGAAAGCTGCACCGGAGCAGAGATAGACAGAGCGCCGGAGCAAAGACGAAGCGAGCACCGGAGCAGAAAGCGAGGACGAGGGACCCAAAACTTGGCTTCGTCGGATAGGGACGGAGCAACGAGAAAAGTGAGCAAAATTTGAGAGCAAAATCACAGAAATTCAAAATAAATTTGAAAGTGAGAGAGGAAAGCGAGGTGGATTTTCTTCTTCAATGCGAAAATGAAGGAGAAGGAGAGAGAGAGAAGAAATAAATGCGTGCAGAGGAGAGAGAGAGAGGGGCTAGCGTGTAGGGCTAAGGAGAAATAATATGAAAACAAGGACAGGCAGCATAAAGGTCCCGAATAGGCAAAAATACGAGAGAGAGAGAGAGAGAGAGAGAGAGAGAGTCTGAGAGAGTTTTTTGAAAATGAAGGTATTGCATTGGCTTCTACCGGTGGCTGTGGCCTGGTGGTTGCTACGAGGCGGCACTCCTACCGTGGCCGGAGAGTGCGCAACCGAGTGTGGGGACGTGGCGATTCCTTATCCGTTCGCGCTCGAACTCGAGTGTGCGAGGTCCACAGATTTCTTGCTCACTTGCAATCCCACCGAAGAGAACGATACTCAACTACTGTATCCCTACCTGGGGAATGTTCTGATACGCGAAATCTCAGTCGAGGACGCGACCATGGTCGTCAGCGTCCCCAAAGTATACGACTGCTACAACCAGACTGGCTATAGAGCAAAAACAGAAACACTGAAAATCGATCTAACTTCATTTCCACCGTACAGATTTTCGGACACCCGGAACAAGTTCACCGTCCTCGGCTGCGACACCTCCGCTCTCATTTCGGACCAAGATGGGACGTTCGGGAGTGGGTGCATCTCCTACTGCAGCTACAACGTCGACTTCGCCAACGAGACCACTTGCTCCGGTCGCGGTTGCTGTCAAACATCCATCCCGCAGGGGCTCAAGACCCTCCGCATTAGCATCCACACCTACGACGAATACTCATCGGAATTGGAAGTCAACCCCTGTGGACTGGCCTTCGTGGTGGACAACAGGTCATTCGATATCTCCCACACGAAATTCCCGAGCTTCGAGGATGTGGGCGAGAGCGCGGACCTTGTTCTGGACTGGATGGTCGGATGGGACGTGACTTGCAAAGAGGCCCAGTCGAACCCGTCGGGCTATGGCTGTGGCAACAACACGGACTGCTCCGACGCCAAGAACGGGCCGGGTTATCACTGCGTATGCGAGCCTGGGTTCAAGGGGAATCCCTACAGTCGCGCCCGAGGGTGTCAAGGTAATTAACATACATCACTCCTCATGCATTATCGCCCTCATAATGAATTCTGTGGATAACAGCCGGATGGAGGAAGTGCTGTATTTATGCACTGAGTTCCATCTAGTTTACCCATTTGATTAGCCATTCGTCCACTCTTCGGCTTTCACCTCACGCCATTCGTCCACCACCTTAGGTGAGCCCATCGTCAGCCTTCACGCGCCATCGGACCACCACCGCCGTCTCTCTCTCTCTCTCTCTTCGTCTTCGTGAGTCTGGCTAGTACCTCATCTCGACAGTAACAAATTCTGGGTACCGTTTCCTCCGCAATGAAGGAGATGAGATTTGTTTGCTTGGATATTCCATGAATGGAGGAGGCCATTGAAGTACTGATCAATCTTCTAGAATTGCCTAGATTCCTGTAGGAATGGTTTTCTACTAGTTTCTAATTAAACGAGTAGCTGAAATTTGTAGCCGGGCTTAAAAACAAGTAAAATATCTCTGGCAAATGCAGAGATAAAATTGTGGCCAAAGTAAAAAAGAAGTAAAATATCTCTGACAAATACAAGGAAAATGTCTCTGACAAATTGTGGCAGGGTAAAAAGCAAGGAAAATATCTCTGACAAATGCAAAGATAACATTACTGTATAAGTGGGGAAAATCTTAATATTTTTTCTTTTCTTCTTTGATTCGTTCCATATTTTCATTTTTTATTTCCGGTGGACGAGAGTCACAGAGCAAGGGTCAGTCGTGAAGCCCTCGCCGGTCGCTAGCAAGGGTCACGGTTTTCGCCTAGTCCCGTCCAAATCTGGGCAAGGCTAGGCAAGGGCTTTGCGGGCGAGGCCCTCGCCCAATGGTCGGCGAACTCCGACGACTCTTGCTGGCCATTGTGGGAAATAAAAAATGAAAGGATAGAAGAAAAAAAAGAAGAATAAAAAAATAAAAAATTTTCGAAAAAAATTAAAAATATTATTAAAAATTATCCTGTCGGCCTATCAAAATTTGATCGGATGAATTCAATTGAGAAAATTAAAAAATTTAGAATTGAATTGAAAGAAGCTTAAGAGAATTAGGATGTTTGGAAAAAAATTTCCAAGATAAAATTGTGTCTAAGGTAAAAAGTAAGTAAAATATCTCTGACAGATGTAAAGACAACATTACTGTATAAGTCGGTGGATTGAGGTTATGAATAGACTTGGGATCATCGGTCATGAGCACAAAAGAGACCAACTAGCAACCCAATCTTCCATGCACATTGCCACTTGTATTACCCTAAACTATGCAATGAAAGTTTATTTTACTTTGTCCCACTGTTGTTGCATTTGTCGAGAATACCCACGTATTTTTACATTCTAAAATACAAATACTAACACAAAAATCTAACATAATCTAATTATGGTATTAGATCCCCGTTCAATTGTTATTGGACGTTTGTCTTATCCACTTGCCACTAAAATCGCCCACTTAAATATTTGAAAACATGACCAAGTCTACATCGCACTCACTAGTCCTTACTGCTTCGATGGAAATAACTATAACTACCGGAGTATTAGGGCGCGCATGGAATCTATTCTAGAGCAAAATTTCTGCTCCAGAATGCATTCCGGAACAGAAATGCGTTTGTTAAAAAATTTCCGGAATGCATTCTGGAGGAATTTTTGCATTCTGGAGCAAAAACGCGTTTGGTAAAAATACATTCTTTTTTGGGTTCCAGAATGAGTTTTTGCTTCCGGAATGTGTTTTGGGCCAAAAAAAAAGAAGCTAGTTTTTGTAGCTTCTTAATTCCGGAATGCATTCTCCCTATTTTCTCACAATTTTTTTTTTTCAGAAAATGCATAAAAATTGAAAAATTCTAGAAAAATTCATAAAAATTTCCAGAAAATAAAAAAAAGTCAGATTTCGGGAAAATATGAAATTTGGTGAATTTTTTAAAAAATAAAAAAATCAAAAAATTCAAAACTTCACGAATAGCTTAAAACACATGTGCACCCACTTTGAATGAAATTTAAATTTTTGAGGTGCCCAAAAAAATCAAAAATTTCAAAACTTCACAAAATGGCTTAAAATACTGTGGCCACCTACTTTGAGTGAAATTTAAATTTTTTGAGGTGCCCAAAAAAAAGAAAAATAATAAAAAAATAACAATTTTCAAAACTTCACAAAATGGCTTAAAATACCTGTGACCACTCACTTTGAGTGAAATTTAAATTTTTTGAAGTGCCCAAAAAAATAAAAAAAAATAAAAAATTTCAAAACTTCACAGAATGGCTTAGAATATCTGTAGCCACCCACTTTGAGTAAAATTTAAATTTTTTGAGGTGCCCAAAAAAATAAAAAAAATTCAAAACTTCACAAAATGTCTTAGAATACCTGTGGCCACCCACTTTGAGTGAAATTTAAATTTTTTTAGGTGCCCAAAAAAATTAAAAAAAATCAAAAATTTCAAAACTTTACAGAATGGCTTATAATACATGTGACCACCCACTTTGAGTAAAATTTAAATTTTTTTAGGTGCAAAAAAAATCAACAAATCAAAACAGATTTCTGTTCCAGAAATCAATTTCTGGAGCAAAATTAGTCATGTTTTACCAAACAGATTTCTTCTCCAGAAATCAATTTCTGGCAAAAATTTCAGAAATCAATTTCTGGCAAGAATTTGATTTCTAGAGCAGAATGGTTACCATTCGCACCCTTAAAATGACTACTTTCGTCATGGCCCAAGATTTATGGGACATTATAGAAAAAGGAAATGCAGCTCCGAAAGAAGGTGTAAACGTTCCGGCAAAGCAACTATATAAGGATGCTAGGATTCTATGTGTCATCTTGCAAGCCCTCTCGGAAATAATGGTCCCAAGAATCATTGGAGCGAAGACTGCAATAAGAACATGAAATATACTGCAATAAGACTTCCAAGGCACAATAAAAGTACGCATCATTAAACTTCAATTTCTTGTAAAGGAATTCGAAAATTCTAAAATGAAAGATACTTTGGTAAATTAAAAGAACTAATAAATCAAATCAGGGTCTAGGAGATCATACCATTGACCAAATAGTAGTAGAAAAATATTGGTTACACCTACCATAAAATACAATTTTATTGCTACCTCTATTAAGAATCTAAGGATTTAAGAACCTTGTCAGCGAGCGAATTTATTGGCTCTTTAGAGATGCATGAAAAAATACCAATGGTGCAAGATGAAGAATCAGTTGAAAGTGTCCTTCGGTCTAAAATAATCATATTGTCTCATAAAATCTGAAAATGGTGAGTTCATGGAAAAACAAAACAGGGTGAGAAACCTCTCCCAAAGAAAAATATCCACCCTGTATTATTTGCGAGAAGACAAATCAATTGGAGAAAGATTGTTGATTTCGTGATAAACCACAATACACTTCGTAAAAAATATAACCATGTAGAAAAGATTGTGGGTTGAAACAAATCACCGAGCTAATTATGTTGAAGAAAAAGTACAGACAATATATTATATGCGGGAAAATTATCCAAAAAATCCTAAACTTATTGCACGATTGCCAATTCAACCCTAAACCTTTTAATTTTATTAATTGAGTCCAAAACCTTTTTAATTTTTGCTAATTGAGTCTGTCCAATCAATTTTGGCCGGAAATCACTGACATGGATGCAAACTGTGCCACGTAGGACAGCTGATACTGAAGTGGACAATTTTTAATAATATTTTAATATTTTTAAATTTATTTATTTATTATTATTTTTTTCTTTTTCTTTTTCTTCCTTCTTCCTCCTCTAGCTGGTCGCCGGGCATTGTTGATGGCCTACGATCGGCTAGAGGTGAAGGCTGGCGAGGTTGACCTTGCCTAGTGATGGTGAGGTCACGCCTTGCCCTCGCTAGCCCTCGCCTCTGACCTGTTGTCGGGCCTTGGCAACCGGCTAGAGGAGGAAGAAGGAAAGAAAAAAAAAAGATAAAGAAAGACGGGAACAGAAAGGAAAATTTTAAAAATTGAAATATTATTAAAAATTATCCACATCAGTGCCGGTCGGCGTCCACGTCAGCGATTTCTAGCTAAAATTGGCCAAATTGACTTAATTGGCAAAAGGTGAAAATGTTTATGACTCAATTGACAAAATTAAAAGATTTATGATTGAATTGACAAAAGTGTAATAGGTTTAGGAGTTTTTGAGCAATTTTCCCTATTATATGCATGCCAAGCGGCAATTGTGGAGAAGAATGATAGGTGGTAATATTGATGGCGAGTGTAGCAATCACACAACTAGGGATGAATCTATATTTATCGACATTGATACATAGATGAAAATCCAAGTGAGATCGGGCAATGCCGCATTAGTTGATGTGAAAGGAAAAGGCACAATAGCTATTGAAATAAAGAAAGACCCAGAGTATATTCATGACTATAATTAGTCCCTAGTCTAGCACAAAGGTTATATGGGCCAAAGGATACAGCTATTCTATATACTTTAAAGGAGACATATATATATATATATATAGGGGGAAGAACAGCAGAAGTGCCAAAAGTTGTGTACGGGGCTCACTTTGGTGCCAAAAGTTTCATTTGGATCATTTAAGTGCCAAATTTTTTTTAAAAAGATCACTTAAGTGCCAACTCCGGTCAGTTTGGCCGGAAATCCAACGTGGCATTTTTTTATTAATTTCTGAAGCCGATGTGGCTCGCCGGAGATACAGTCAGCACGTACAGTCAGCATTTTTTTTATTTTAAATAATTTTTTTTTCTTTTTTCCTTTTTTTTCTTTTCTTTCTTTTTTCCTTCTTTTCTTTCTTCTCCCTTTGGTCATCGCCGGTGATCGGAGGCCGGCCACCGGCCGCCTGGCCTCGCCCGGACAAGGTCGCCGCTGCCCTCCACAAGCAAGGCCCGGTCGACCCTCGCCTAGGGACGGTGGGCAAGCCCCGGCGAGGTTGGCCTTGCCTCGCATAGGCGAGGGCTCCCCTCGCCAGATCCGGCGAGGCCGGCCGTCACCCAGGCCGCGGCGGCCTCGCGGGACGTCGCCTTCCCGGCGGCGACGTCCGGCGGGGCCGCCGTGGCCCGGGCGACGGTTGGCCTCGCCGGATCCGCGAGGGAGCCCTCGGCGGGCTCGCCCTCGCCCATGCGAGGCGAGGCCGACCTTGCCGGGGCTTGCCCGCCATCGCCTGGCGAGGGTCGGCGGGCCTCGCCCGTGGCGAGCGGCGGCGGCGGCCTCGTCCGGGCGAGGCTAGGCGGCCTGTGGCCGGCCTCCGGTCACTGGCAGTGACCAAAGGGAGAAGAAAGAAAAGAAAAAAAGAAAAGAAGAAAAAAAAGAAAAAAATTCAAAAAAGTATTTAAAAAATCGAAATATATACGTGGAAATGCCACATAGACTAATTTTTTTTAAAAAAAATCCAACTAAAATTAAAAATTTAATTATAAATGTCACGTATTAATTTGGCCGGAATCTCTCGCCGTTGACACCAAAGTGATCATTTTTCCTCCAATTTGGCACTTAAGTGATCCAAATGGAACTTTTGGCACCAAAGTGAGCTCCGTACACAACTTTTGGCACTTCTGCTGTTCTTTCCCCTATATATATATATATGTGCGTGTGTGTGTATTGGTCGAAATGCATGTGCTATGTGTGATAAATATAAAAATCAAATGACAAACTAAATTGAAATGGAGAATAGGAAATTTCTCATTCGATGGAAATATGCTAGAAACACAGCTATGAAAAGCTCAGTTGATGATTCATGGCTATGGCACCAAAGATTTGACCACTCCTACTTTGGGCTAAAAACTCTCCATCAGAAAAATATGATGATATACTTTCCATACATTTCACCAATATCAATTGTCTGTGAATGTTGTGTCCTTGGAAAACAACAAAGGCAATCATTTCCATCTAGAAGAGAATATAAAGCTAAAAAAAGTCATTGAAACTAGTTCATATGGATGTATGTGGTCCAATGAGCACCCCACACCCAAACAAAATAAATATTTGATTCTCTTCATCAATGACAATATCAAAATGACGTGGGTATACTATCTTCGAGAAAGATCGGAGATTTTCTCTTTTTTCTAAAAATTCAAAAACCACTTAGAGAAGCAAAGTGAGCGCAACATCAAGGTCCTTAGAAGTGATAGAGGCACCGAATCAAAAAGTTTGACAAATTCTATGAAGACGAATGCGTTCTTCATCAATTAACAATTGGCTATACCCCAGAGCAAAATGGAGCTACAAAAAGAAAAAATAGAACCGTCATGAAGGTGACGAGCTTCTTGCTAAAGGAGAATGTTCATGTACCTGCTTAGAAGAGGAGCAAGCTCAGAGTATCACGAAAATTAATCAAGGAGGAGTGCTGATGTATTGGTCAATTTTCTAGAGTAGCCTAGACGCCTCTTGGATTGGTGTTCTACAAGTCTCTGGTTTAATAGGAGGTAATTGGAGTTTGTGGCCAATGTTAAAAACAAGTAAAATTCTCTGGCAAATGCAGAGATAAAATTGTTGTATAAGTCGGGGGATTGATCCTATAGATAGGCTTGTGATGATCGCCCATGAACTCTAGAGACCAACTAGCAACACTAAAGTTCCATGCACATTGCCACTTGTAATACCCTAACTATTCAATAAAAAAATTCCTATACCTTGCCCATTGTTTTTGCATTTGCCGAGAGCCCCCACACAATTTGACATCCCAAAATACATATATCAGCATCAAAATCCAACACAGTCTAGCGAATAGATCTATAGGTCTCCAAGACAAAACTGCATCAACATTTCGTAAAGAAGGACGAGGCAATGGTGCTTGGTATTGGGGACGTGGCCGTGACACATCTGAACATCAATTTGGACGAGTAGGCGATGAGGCCGTGGCTCGACGGTAGTGGGGATGGCTATGTGATTGCCACGACGGCTGCGATGTTAGTGGCATGGCTGGGCCGTGGTGGTGGTGGAGGGGATGGTAGGTTGAGCGGAAAGTGGGAAAGAGAGTGTGTGTTTCTCTCATATATTTGGTGTGTACTACCACATGATATAATTTTGAGAATAAGGCATCACGAGTATCAAACTTTCGAACAACACTCACTTTGGTGCCATAACTATTCAATCGATCACTTAGTGTCATAACTTTTAAGAAATATTTATTTTGGTGCTATGACTTTTCAATCGATCGCTTAAGTGCTAGAAAGTACAACATGGTATTAAAATTCATGACACTTGTGCTAAAGGTATTTTTTAAAAGATATGGAATTCAAGTAATCGATTTAAAAATTATGACACTAATGAGAAACTTTTTTTTTTATGTTACCACACAAAACTGATCGTGGGTGGGATGGTAGGTTGTGTGGAAAGTGATAGGGGAAGAGAGAGAAAGTGTGTTTTTCTCATATGTTTGGTGTGTATTACCACATGATATAATTTTGGGAATAAGACACCACAAATATCATAACTTTCGTACAATACTCACTTTGATGTAATGACTTTTCAATCGATCACATGAGTATCATAACTTTAACAAACATTCACTTTGGTGCCATAACTTTTCAATCAATCACCTCAGTGCCAGAAAGTACGACGTGATATTAAAAATGAGTATCATGCGAAAGTAATGGCACATCTATACTTTTAATGGAAGGGCCATATAAAGTTGGGGAATCTTGCTTAGACCCTAGTCTATCTCTGGCGTAGATCATGGGGAGTCCACGTGGGACCAATATGATCAACAGTTGTGATATACCCGATCAAGTAAATCCGGATTTGGGTAAGTATTTCTTCTAAGGTTCCAACTTTTTTGCCTAACATAGTAAGGTAAGGTCATTGCCACCACTCTGCCAATGTCATCGTCAACATCATTTCTAGTGACTCTATCCCTACGTTGCATCAACAATCTTGCCTTCTCCTTCAAGCCTCTGTGCCGCCCCTCTTGTATATATTCATTGAATATGGTACGCGTACCCAAATGCATCTAAATGATCAGATCTGACGAGCCTATCATACTTAGTGATACATATGCATATTAGCATATGTACCTCACTCATAGAATAATGGCTCTTATATATAAATCTATGTGTGCATGGAAAGATCAATCTCCTCCCAGGCTCAGCCATCGTCCCTGATGACCATATCTAAAATGGCAATAACAACCCCTCACCTTGCTCTTGCATCATAGGGTTCATGCATCATCGTAAAAGCTCGATTTCGGCGAGTTCTGTATGCAGGATCCTTTCCAAGATTGCGGGCCCTCGACGGGTCTCTTACGTAGAGTTCGAGGCAGCGTCGATCTCCGTCGATGGCAAAGAAACAATGCCATTGTTGAGCTGGGATCCGACGTGGAGAGAGACAGAGAAGAGAAGATATCATAATAGACAATGGACACATGTCACAAATACGACAATCAAGCATAAATGGGATAGCATTACCCACTAATAATTCATGCACCTACTTGTTCAACTTGTTTTTGCCGTCAACCGAGATGACAGTTCAATTTGTCTTCTGCATAATGTAGACATCAATGAGTGCGAGGAGCCACAAAAATACGCATGTCATGGAAAGTGCAAGAATAAGCCCGGGTCCTACACATGCAGTTGCCCATTTGGATTTCACGGCGATGGTAAAGTCAGTTGCCAAATTTCTCATTACGTCGGAGTTGTTGCAGGTAATTTCATCTATATCCCCCAATCATTCACTAGATGGTTTATATTCTATCAATTCGCTCTTTTGCAGTAGGTTTGACGTATAAGTTTTAAGGATTATTATGCCGTACTTAGCCGGTGTAATCCTTGGTAAGACAAGCAGTGACCCAAGCTGCCACTTGTCCCTATTTAGTCCCAGGTTAAGGTTGTTTACATCTTTCTTTTGCTTTTCTTTTACCTCTCTTTTCAGCTTCTTTTGGGTCTACTATGAAACTACATTAGTGGGAGGATACATTGCAGATCTAAATGAAAATTTCTCCTCTGACCAACCTACGAATCTTGGGCCAAATAGAACAATTAGACCTGCATATTTCAAGAGGAAAAAAAAACCCTAAAACTACAAGCGAAAAGGGAGCACAAATTTGGACTAGAAAAAGGGAAAAGAAAAAGGAGCACACAATTAAGCAATGACATGTCAAGGTAATTTTTGAAGAAGGCAATGCAGTTGAGCTTTGTTAATCTGAACTGTGAAAATATTGACCAAAGATGCAGCACGAGAGGAGCTCAGTGACTCTGAGTCTCGTTGATGATAGAAAATGGTATTACTGACCAGAAATTTCTGAGTTTTGTAGTATTAATGGCTCTTGAGCAATGCATTCGGGCACATTTTTGTGTTTTTTTCCTGTTTTCTTCCAAATCCTTTTACAGTAATTATTATTTGGATTTGCAAGTCTAGGTTGAGTTTCGATTTGGGTGAAAATTGTTCCCTTTAGGTATCCTCCTGTGAATGGTTGACAAAATCTTCAATTAATTATCTACTAAAAGACACAAACAGAAAAAAAAAGGAGAAGTGAAACTATTGGACACGTGGCATATCCTAGTACTTTGCTTGTATAATTTGCGATTCCATGGTATAATAATCCTTGTTTAAATTGAGATTTTGATTCGACCAAAAAAACAATTGAGATTTTGCAGTGGATGTATTAGAATCCCCAGGGTATTGAACTGCATCTTCTCATCTATTACATATTTAGAGTTATTGAAATTTAACGTATATATGTAAATGTCAAAATTTGGATAATATAGCTACAACAAAGGAATGGATCCACGCCTAAAAAGCTTGGGGGTAGCGGGGTTGATAGACTAAGGATAGGCACAGGGAATCCCCACAAAAAATGCTCGGCAAGGCGTCATGCGGGACATTAGGTGGGGGCTAGTATTAACACTACCTCGCCTAGCGAATCCGCCCCGTGTACACTATTAAGAAAAGAATACGTTTTTATTTTTTTTATTTTAGGGCAAAAGCTACTAAAAATCTTGAACTATGCTTATTGTGACACTTTTACTCTAAACTATGCAGAAATCATTTCTATCACTGTTAGTTATATTTTAAAATCAATGATGGTGGTTACAGACTATGTGGAAAAGAATAAAATGGGTTGGGTGTTTGAAATTAATTTCTATTATCAACTATGTGGACCGTATAAAGATTATATGCTTAAATCATTAATCTAGTAACATATACTCTTTGGCAGCGATTGTTGTGGCCTTCTTCTTCATTATTGTTGGTGGTTTGGTCTTTGAAACGTGGAGGAGGAGAAGCAAAGAGAAAAATTTTAGACGAAATGGAGGAGAGCTCTTGAAACACCACAGAGTTCAGATTTTTACGGAGACAGAGCTGGCAAAAGCAACCAACAACTATGATGATAGCAATAAGCTTGGCGAGGGAGGTTTCGGTTCCGTCTATAGAGGAAGAACAGCAGGGGGCACCGAGGTCGCTGTCAAGAAGCCTAAAGACGTGCACGCGTCTCTAATAAAGGGCGATTTCCACCATGAACTTGAAGCTGTGATGAGACTTCACCACAAAAACGTGGTGAAGCTCGATGGCATATGTTTGGAGACTAGAATACCCTTGCTGGTTTATGAATACATTTCGAATGGGACCCTCTTCCAACACATCCATCAGAATGCATCGACCATCTTGAGATCATGGAAAAATCGATTCAGAATAGCCGCTGAAGTTGCTCTTGCACTCATATATATGCATTCCTGCGCAGAACCTCCAATCATTCATGGTGACATCAAGTCAATGAACATACTTCTAAATCAAAACTACTCAGTAAAAGTGTCAGATTTTGGAACTTCAGTGCTTATATCGCCGGAGCATAATCATATCGTAGCCACTGAAATACAAGGCACATTGGGCTACATCGATCCAGAATATTTAACCACCGGCGTGCTAACAATTAAGAGTGATGTGTACAGCTTTGGAGTTGTCCTCGTGGAGTTGCTCACGGGAAAGGTGCCTACAAGTTTTGTTACTAAATCCGGAGTGCCAATCAATATTATCCTTTGTTTCATCTCTTCCGTGAAGGACAAGACACTCTCTGATGTCATAAACTTTGAGGGCGCTAGTGAAGATGAAATGGAGAGAGTAGGAATGGTTGCTGAGATTGCAGTGAAGTGTTTGGACCAAAGCGGTGCGAAGAGGCCAGCAATGAGGGAAGTGGCTGAGCAACTCGTGAGGATTAACCCTGAGCACGATGGTTCGACAGTTGAAGAATACAATGAACAGACCGAACGCAAAGTGGATGAAGAAAACCTCGACTCCCATGCGACTTCAGTTACTTGTGAGACCAGCCAACGTCAAGGTCTCTTATATAATCTGCGAATGGATTCAGCTGCTTCTAGCATGTGATGCATTTATTAATATAGTAACATGTCTATTAATTGTCCACCAGGACTTCTAGGGTCGAATGTGTAATCTGAATATATGTTTGCCATTTTCTAGAGACTTATATTTGTGCAAGCATATGTGCAATTTTGAGTGTCACAATCTAATATAATATCTGTAATGTTGTGGATTGAAGTAGAATTATAGGAGGCTGACATACGGGCATTATGTCATTATCATAATCTCTCTTTCCATTTGTCTCTCTTCCTTTTCTTTTGTTCCTTACATATTATAATAATAGGTCAGAAAATAAAATCTACTCACGCCCATTTTTTTTTATCTTTTCTTTCCTTAATCTAATCCCAATTCACTTTTTATGGCAAGTGAAAGATAATAATTGTTGGCGAAAAAGAAAAAAATAGGCCAGAAAAAGTATCTACTTTTACTCATTTTTCCATTTTTGTAACTTGAACTTAATTTGATATGATGGCAAAAAAATAACATCTCAATTCACTTTACTTTCGCATTACTTATAGTTCATTTAATCTAATTTCAGTTTAGATGTTAAATAGGAGTGAGAGGGAGGGGGAAAGACAAACCAATTCAAAACTCACAAAATACCATGTTTTCCGGTCAAACCTATCGTATTCTGAGCTCTACATTATTGTTGACACCTAAATTTTAGCGACCCAACTATTCGTTCGTTGCATAAAAAATTAGGGAACAATCCCGGTCCCTAAACAAAAAATTAGTTAAATTGCATATAGATTAGGAGCATTTGAATTAGTATTTAGGCTCATATAGTTGCATTTGCATTGGACCGACGGTGGATAGACTTGAGTGAGTGATTCTAAGCTTAACTGGACTAAGCTTGCGGTAGCCGAAATCATGGGTATCAAGTTAGGAAAATTTGATGAAAATTTGAAGTAATAAAACTTGATATTATCAAGATTTTGGTCACATAGCAAATAAGAAAGAAGTAATCGGCATAATTCCCATGATATTTGTGAGATCAATTATTTGTGGGAATAAATAGTTAACAAAGGGAATATTTGATTGAAAAGAAAGAGGAAAGAAAATATGCATGCGTCCAAAGATTTGTCGGTGAAAAAAATATATAAAAGGAGGAGGGGGACTTCACTTCACGGGGGAAGAGCAGAGAGGAGGCCACACAATTAAGAATGCACGGCCACAATTGAAAGAAAAAGGATATTGCAGAAATTTTCTTCTCTATTGACTCACGTCTTCACCTTCACCATCATCATCCCCTAGCTACTTCAATATCCATCACCCACGAAGAGGCTGCCACTTCTGCACAACAAGACAAGAACCAACCATTGGAGCAACAGGGACACGTTGACGACAAGGAGTCCACGATACGAAGAATACATCCAGAGAAGTCAATCCCTCCGCGGTGGCCGATCGTGTCTCTTGGCGCCTGACTTCCACACCTTCTCTTGTCACGCCACCACCTCACTCTCTCGAGTCATGCGGCCGCTGCTCAACACCCCCCAATCAGTGACGAGTCCGCGATTGACGACACAGCAAGCTCGACGAATTCACAACAGTTTGCTAACTTTCACAGCCAAACTTTGGTCCGATGTTGCAGGTTTTCCTGTGACCAAAAAGCTATTTCCCTGGTGCCTACTCCACGTCGCTCCTTGGTTAGCTACGAATTTTGTGACCCTCTCACCATCGAACCCTCCCTAGCCGAGTCTGTAACGTCCTTACCTTATCTCAGGATTATTAATGTGACGTCCCGTTCGTTATTATCTTTTACTAATCACAAGCAGAAGCAATTAATTCGGGACAATCACAATCAGAACAAACAACGGGGTTATGACAAGCATCATGAGCAAACCTTGTATTGATATGTAATATCCTTAATATGTAATATCCTTATCTTACTAGGGAAAGCACAACATGCAAGACACATTATTGCTATTTTACTGAAACATATTTTACAAGCCCTTTTCTACGGGCCGTTCCACATACAAACCATATCACAAGCGAAGGCTGAGGTTAATCCTAACTCCTCTATGCATCTTCCATCTTACGATCCTGAAAAGGAAAAATAACGGGGGATGAGTCGGGAAGACTCAATAAGTAAATTCACTAATACTCGTGCAGGATGATACCTCGCCATTGTACTAACGCATACAAATATTTTTCCCATGTTATGTCAATGGCAGATCAATAGCAAAGGCTTTGTCCTTGCCCTTGCTATGTTTACATGGAAGCTCACCTTTATCCGGCCACATAAATTCGGCTTATCATTAAGCACACATACTAGAACACATATAGACTTTATTTATCACATACTGGCACACATATAAGATTCATGTATCGTCATCCTGACTCAACCAGGGCACTCTGGCTCAACCGAGGCATCCAGTTTCATGCTAGGCATCCTCGCTCAACCAAGACATCTCGGCTCAACCGAAGCATCCCGAGGCTAGCTCACCCGAGGCATCTGGGCTCAACCCAGGCATCCTAGCTCAACTAGGGCATCCCAGCGCTAGTTTACCGAGGCATCGCTGCCAACGCTATGTGACGACAGTCTTCTTCTTTCATTTAGTGATCACACATCATGGGTTACACAAGCCGATTTATTATCTTGATCTCATTAGTCTATGCAATCAAGCCCAAAGGCGTGCCGTGCTTGTGTAATCATGATCTCTAGAATATTCGCCTAGCATGCGGGTCTCGGTCAAGGTCGAGGGCACGTGGTTCGGTCCGCCATGCTGAGTGCCGGCTCGGAGCCGAACTTGGCCCGGATCTACACATCCCAATGTTAACTCGCACCAAGCCAAACTCGTCCCGTGATGCCACAACATGAGTATGAAATCATACGACACCCTGTTTCGTGACTCATACGTACCTTGACTGACGATTATGAAGCAAAACAATAACCACTCATGCAAACATCGAGCATCATAGATATGGTCACTACTCAAGCCAAATTCGTAACGTCACGTCCTATCAACAAGCATGGATAATAACATCAAGCAGGGTAACAAGCGATGCATGCAACATTGAGACAAACAACAACACGCAAGTCTCAGCAGAGGCTCGGGTGAGAACTCAGGCCAACAACGTATCATAACTTCTTATTCCGAGATTAGGGAATCCACTTACATGCCGTGTTCCAACCACGTAACACACCGCCCTATCCAAGTGTTAGGGAATTCACTCACCTATAAGCTCAAGAAAACATCTACGGTGGTCGGCGGCGGACAACGGCAAGAGAGAGATGACTGGCGTGATGGTGAGAGGGAGAGAGAGAGACGTGAGAGTGAGAGATGAGAGGAAGAAGAGGTGATGTGTGGAAGCTAAAGGGGAGAACCAAGCCTATTTATAGGCAAGCTAACTTGTTCCCCAAGTTCTTGACCAACTTGCTCACTAAGCTTGGACCAACTTACTCACCAAGTTTTGCCTAGCTTGCTCACCAAGTTCTTTCTTTCTAGAACCCTCTTCCTTATCTCTCGGTTTCCCCCTTCGTGTGACCTCCAATCAAGGCTTAGAATAGCTCATTTGAAAGCTTAGAATGAGCACATTAAATCACCAGAAGACATCATGTCGAGATTCCAACATTCTCATATAGAAAATGATGAATTTGTGAAATCTGACAAAACCGGCAGTTTTGCACTGTTCACAAAATCAGACTTGAAAACATAGTAAATGGACTCCAAAAATTCTCAAATTTGGATATGTAATAAAAAAAACGCCTTAACAAACATTTTCCATGAAGAACACAAAATCTGAATCTTTATGTAACTACATCTTTTAGTAGCTCAAAGACAGACTAAAAATAGTTCGCTGGAATAGAATCTTTTCTTTTAAAAGTAAGCTCTTTCTAGAACCAAAATCACCTAAAAAAATTCCCAAATTTATATATGTTATAGAGACAGAAGTTATCAACAACTTTTGTGAAGGAAGTTTGTTCAAAATCGGCCCATAAAAGTATGTAGAAAATCGAGAAAGTGTGAACATCACAAAAATACCCATTCTGGGCAGTTTTACACGGTCCGAAATTATGCTATCGTACCACTCATATCAAGTCCAAAAATTCTAAAATTAAAGTATGTAAAACTTCAAGATTGTCGCGACCGAACTCCCGAGCCCTTTTTAAACAACATGCAAAAAGGGAGGGGCTCGCCTGGTACGTGCTAAGTCTAGGTTCGGGACTTAACTCGGGCTCTCCCAAGCCCATACCATATCGCGACTTAGGGTTTAAGTTTTTAACATGCAAGTGGTTTATATCGAGGAGTCGCCACTAATCGATTTGGGGTGGGTCGATTAGAAACCCAAATAGGGTGATGGGAGAATCACCCTATTCCTACGAACCAGAGATTGACTGAATTCGAGGACTTGGTTACACTAGTTAGATAACTAATGCCCTTTCGGTACCTTTCTACCCTGTTCATTTTTTTTTAAAAGATTTGTCAGGCAATTTGGATTGATATTAGGACCTTTCTCCTAACATGTGAGGTGGTCAAGCGAGTGCATAATCAGAAACGATTAGCAGTCAGGAACACAACAATTTATGCAGCCTAAGGTTCTAACCTTAACTAAGTCAGATGACATTCAAAAACACAACTTATGCGATTGTATTAAAAACATGCATAATAATATAGCGATAATAAAAACTAACATGCAAAATATTACCGCGCAATCTCAGGATTGTCTAATTTAAACAAGACAAAAATATGCATAATAATATCACATTAGATTAAAAACTTAGATATAACATAATTTTTTTAAAAAAAAAAATTTTATTTAATTTTTTTTTTTTTCGAAAAGAGAAAAAGAAAAAAAATACAGAAAAAAAATAAATTTTTTTTTAAAAAAAATTTTTTTTAAAAATTTTTTTTTAAAATTTTTTTTTAAATAAAATAATAATATAATATTAACCGGGTCGGGTCGGATCCGACCCGGGTCAACGGATCCGACCCGGGCGTTGACCCGGGTTGGATCAGCTGAACCGGGTCGGTCGGAACCGACCCGGGTCAACGGATCCGACCCGGGTCGGATCAGCTGAACCGGGTCGGTCGGAACCGACCCGGGTCGGATCAGCTGAACCGGGTCGGTCAGACCGACCCGGGTCAACGGATCCGACCCGGGCGTTGACCCGGGTCGGGTCGGCTGAACCGGGTCAGACCGAACCCGTTGGAGCAGCCGCCGGCGAAGCCGAAAATCGGCCTCT